GGGGGCCGAGCCTCAAGTCGACGAAAACATCCAGGAGAATTTAGATCCACAGCTCTTCAAGGCCACGTAGGGGGAGAGCCTATTAATATATCTTTTAGCCGATTATTATAATAATTGCATTGTGTGGGCCAGAACCGGGCCAGACAAATGTTACTGTGTGGGGCTGCTCCCACAGTTTACAACCTAGCCTAAAACCACATTTGTTTTCTTTTATTGCACTTCTTTTACTAGAGAAACCAAAAAGCAATTAGGAAAACTGAATACATGACCAAGCTGCTGTATTATTTCTATTCTGATACAAGCAGTCTGCGTACGATTTGTGTATACCCAAAAGGACGTGCAGTCATTCGAAGGAGAAGGAAGTGAGGTAGCGTTTCTCCAGTCTAAAGACAGAAAAGCATGTAAACACAAACTAGACTTTGCTTTCATCCAGATATTGTCTGTGATGTTGTTTTTTTTTTCATTTGTTAGTGATTTAGAGAAAGAAAAAAACACCACAGATGGCAAAGTTTCTGAAAGCTGTGCYTCAGAGGCAAACGCTCGGATTTTATTTTTATGACAAAAACCGATGATTCCTTTGCTCCTCTGTTTGACTTTGTCACTTAACAAAGTGTGCTCTCTCTTTCACTCACTGCTGTAGACGTGAAGAGCTGGCTGGTGATGTTTGGCTTCCAGCTCAGCAACATAATCCCAGGATTCCCTCGGCACTCGCTCTACTTTGTGGAGCCGCCGTACGAGCTGCAGGCCACCCAGCACTGTGAAAACGGACAGGTACGATCTACCATCAGAAAAATATATACATATATACTCTGAAATATATACTATTGACTACATTTTATAGAAAAGTGGGTACCACTTTACAATAAGGCTCCCCTTATAAATAGTTTATAGATAGATATTAATTCATCTGTAAACACTTTATAAATCATTAATAAGTGTTTATTATTCATTAATTAAGGACGGGAAAGAGACAAAACTGTCCGATTTCCTACTACCTTGTAAGCACAATAATTTATTGAAAACACATATTTTACATATAATATTGTACTGTATTACCACATTATACATATCCACAGTAATCAAAGGGAGCCTTATTGTAAAGTGTTGAACAGTATAATAATAATAATAATAATGTCATATTAGAGCCTTATAAATAGTGTACTGTACACATTACAATAAGGCTCCTTTATGGCATTTATACAAGTTTATTAGTCATTAATAAATAGTGTACCTACTGTCTTACATTTTACAATAAGGCTCCCTTTGACAGTTGTTAATATGTATAAGTAATATAGTTCAGTATTTTTTAAATATGTGTTTCCAATACATAATTGTGCTTAAAAACCTAGTAACGTGTACACAAACAGATTTTAGCTCACTATTTGGTGAAAAACCGGACAGTTTTTTCTTTTTCCTGTCCTTAATTAATCCATAATAAACATTTATTAATGATTTATAAAGTGTTTACAGATGAATCAATAACCTATCTATAAATTATTCATAAGCCATCTATAAGGGGAGCCTTATTGTAAAGTGGTACCGATGGTACAGAAAAGTGTTGTAAATCATCATTCACATTCTTCAGGCTGTGATGGCAAGCTGCAGCTAACAGGGTGACCAAGCTACCTTTATCTTTCTCACTTAGCTCATCACTGGTGTACAGCAGGCAGCGGAGCGCCACAACCAGGCCTTCATGGCCCTCGAGGGCCGTCTGCTCAACAAGGAGCGCCGCAGACGCAAAGACAAACCCGGCCATTGGTTCGGCACCAGCACCCCCATTATAGGCCGAGGAGTAATGTTGGCGCTGAAGGAGGGCCGAGTGGTGGCCGGCGTGTCGCCGCTGGCCAGCGACGACAGCCGCAAAATAGCTCTCGTGCTCAATGGTGCTCAGTACCTGGAAGGCACTCATTACACTCAGGATGGGAAGGATTGTCACTACTTTGTGAAAGTAGGCTCGGCCGACAGCGACCTGTTGGCACTGGGGCTTACGAACGGGAGAAAATCACTGGAGAGCGGCATCAACGTGACAGTGAGCGGCCGGTCGAGGAGAGGCGTGACTGTGGAGTTCGCGGTCCCATCGTTAGTGCTGAGCGTTCGCTACGGGCTCGCCGCGGATGTGGTGGACGAGGAGAAGGTAAGACTGTTGGAGCTGGCCAGGCAACGGGCCCTGGCGGGGGCCTGGGCCAAGGAGCAGCAGCGTGCGAGGGATGGGAAGGGAGGCAGTCGCCTGTGGACTGAAGGGGAGAGGCAGCAGCTCCTAACGACAGGCAGAGTACAGGGCTACGATGGCTACTACGTACTTCCTGTAGAGCAGTACCCAGAACTGGCAGACAGCAGCAACAACATCCAGTTTCTCCGACAGAATGAGATGGGCAGGAGGTAACAGCCCACATGAACTCCCCTCCCCCCCTCTTTCCCACTTTAACATCTCGGAAATTATGTCCCATTTCCCACCCAGCCTCCTTAACCTCCCGAAAAACCTACAGAGAATTAACCAACAAACGGGGTTACTCACGGAACGCTGCAGGGACTTTTCAAAAGAATGACTTCTCTTAAAAAAAAAAACATATTAATTTTACTGCCACAGGCAAAAAAGTCAAATGTTTTTTTTTTTTTTTTTTTTTTTTTTTTTTTTTTTGAAAAACTGAAAAAAGCACTGAAGAACTTTTAAGAACTGTTGCTTAACAAATAAGAAGATTCCCCTTTTTAAAAAAGAGAGTGATATTTTCACCCATATTTTTTGGGTTCCACTGAAAGCGACCAGCTGAACGGTGTGGAGAAAGGTGTGGATGTGGAGGCTGCCTCTGCCGTCGGGGCTCGTCTGTCTCTAATAAATAAATTAATTAATTAATTAACTGAAGGTGAAAAAGAAGGGACCAAAGCGGAGACCGAGCCACTCCACAGTGCAGCGCCATCACCACCGAGCATCAGCGGCAGATATCGTGAACAGTAACTTACAAGACACCGTCTCCCTGTCTCAGGCCTCCCATCGTCCACCACAGACCAGTCCAAGAAACACGCAAGATTAACGGAATCCTCCGGAGTCCGAGCCCGTGATGAACTAACGGAGAGGGAAAGAAACACGGAGATATTTGTGGAGTCACTCAGCGTTGTTTATCTGTCAGTGGGGAGAAGAATCATATTACATACGTGTCAGACTACACTAAACTTCAGGATGTTGCGTATACCGTAGATGCCGTAGTTTTGTACGTTTCAGTCGCGGTAGAGTTGTGAGATTTTTTTTTTCACGAAGGCACTTCTGTACAGAACGATCAAAACACGCCCCTCTCACCCTCTGAGTCCGGCAAACATGCTACTTTAGTATTTATTTTCCTTTATTTATTCTTAGTACTATATGACAATCATGAATGAGTCACCAGTTCTATTCGAAATGAACATTAATGAATGAGCTTATTTTTTTTTCTTTTCCTTTTGTAACATATGTAATAAATGTTCCTTTTTTTGTATTAATTTCAGTTTGCTGACAGGGGGAAAATAATAGTCACCCACAGAAAAAGAGTAATTTATGTAATGAGGTGTTTTAAAAGGCAGTTTATACTTTAAATAAAGTCTTTAAAACTGTGAAATCTGTTTTTTCGAAGTATATTTCGATGTACAGTGTATAGATTTACCTTTATGCAGCACAGTAGAATATCGTTCAGAWTATCAAGTTTTATATTTCTAAGAGGAAGTGGCTTGTAATGTGCGAAACCTTTAGCTGCTCTTATTACTCTAGARTTTTTGTGGCACTCGGATACTCCATTATCTACGGTATCAGTCCAAAGTTGGTTGTTTTTTTATGTTTTTTTGTTTTGATTTGTTTATTGTTTGTTTATTTGAAAGCAGATAAATTTTGTCCTAGATCCCAACAGCAGTAGCAGTAATGGATCCCACTCACTGTGAGGAGACTCGTGCTGGATGTCATGTACCAAATCAGTATTATTATCAGAGGACGATTCTTATACATTCACTGAAACGAGACTCTTCTGACAACCTTATCAATAAAACCTAATTGTTTACTTCAACTGAGCAACGTGTAAATCGCTTTCATCTCTCTTTGTGTGTGTGTGTGAGAAGACTGCTGTTTTTTGGTGTTGTTTTTTTGTCAGGATTTCATTATGATTCAGAGACTAGGTTATTATTTGTGTTTCAAATCCATCYTCAAGTTGTTGACACATTAGAAAGCTTTAATTTTTAAAAACCATTTTCACTGGTGAGATAAATTGCGCATTTCAGCTTGTTTTGCTTTCTGACCGAGCAGCTCAGATCTTCATGTGCTAAACAACCCTGTTGGGTAACATTTAAAACAGTAGATGTACGTAGTTGCAAATTTTAGGCAATCATCTAATCTCACTTAAAATGTGATGCTTTTTTATCTCTACAGCGTAGGCAGCTGTATTACCATATTTTATACTTCTGATTGATCAAACGGTTCGACTAGAATGACTGAGAACGGATTGTGACAGCATGTTTTTGTTGTTTTTTTGTGTTTCTTTGTTCTCACCATCGTGCTGCTCATTCTGAAGCAATGTTCTGTCAAGTTTTTAATCAAGAGTTGGAATATAATCAGCCATGAAATCAGTTATAAGTCCTGTTTTAGACAGAAACAATCTCAGAAAACATTTGTTCGATGTTGATTTTGGAAAGGTTACAGAGAAGTTTTTAGTAGGCTAATGGCTAGCCGTACAAGGGCTCAGGATATTTCTTTTTTCAGGCTTTATAAAACTATTATTTATTAAAAACAACATACAGAGTGGAAGAACACTACATCGACTAATAATAAACCTCTACATTTGTGTTAAGGAAGATATTTTTACAGGTCTGAAAATCAAAACAAAAGGGTTAAGCCAGCGCAGGTGTCAGCAACCCCCAGTTCTGGAGATGCATGCAGGTCTTTATCCTCCTTATAGTGGCTCTTTCTTGCCTTGACCCCACCCCCACACCAAACAAACCTAATTTTTATCATTTTTATTTGTTTTGTATTTTTGTTACTTTGAAGTTTGTGGTGGTACTTTAACACTGGATTTAAAAAAAAAAACGTTTTAACAGTTTGTTAAGCAAAACCACCCGCTTCGCAGTGAGAAAACAGCAAGAAAACCACACCCCCTGTACCCTGGACAAAAARTTAATTAAAATATGTTTTGGTTATTTACACATTCAATGTCATTCACATATTAACCCAYTAGGGGGCACTGTCGGGACAGTCTGAAGCCATTCTATGGCATTAAATATGGATACACAGACTGAACTCCTGCTAAAGTTTGAGAAAAGAATAGAGGAAAATACTGCTGCTATTATCATAAACAAKGGCAGCATTGAGGGGCTTCAGAAGAAAGTCAGCGAGCTTCAARAAGAAAACAAACAGCTGAAGGATTCGGTGGCAGAACAAGCKYGTTACAAAATGAGGTGGAATTTAAGGTTAAAAGGCTTGGCTGAAAAAGATGGAGAGGACACCAGAGAGGTGGTTATTGGCATCTTGACAAGAGTGGTGCCCATTTCAGTGGAGCAGCTTCGTGGGTCAGTCGACACGTGCGTCATCTGGAAAAGAAAAATGATCCAGCCACTTCAAACAACGGTCCACGGTCAATAATAATCCAGTTTGTGACGAGGACCATTCGAGACGACGTTTGGAAGAGATCCATGAATGCCAGGGTCTGCCAGGTATGGAGCCCGCGAGGGGACATGGGGGATTTTTTTTCCTTTTGCGTGGTTTGCAATAGTATTGCGTTACCTCGCAATACCTTTTGCGTTCCCTCGCAAAACTAGTTTTTCACTGTTGAGCCTGCCCATTTATT